CCATGGTCCATAGTTGTACATTCTATGCTGTTGTACATTCTATGGTTTGGACAAATGTATAATAATGACATGTGTCCATCATTCTGTTGTCATATGGATTATTTTTACTGCCCTAAAGATCCTCCATGCTTCGATTCATCTCCCTCCATTACCTCTTCAAATTGGGTTTTTAAATTATGAAATCGAATGAAGGTAAATTTTTTCTATCATTTTGATGTCTTCACTTTTAAGAAGTTCTTTATAGGCTATAGTACTGGCAGGCAGTCTATTAGAAGGTACCAGGTCCACTTAACACTCAAGGTTCTGGAAGTTCATCTATTTATAGAGTTCTGTATCCTATCAATAAAACAGTAAAGATCATATGTTTCATTATCATTTTCCAAAGAGATGTTATTCTCCTTGGCCAGGCTTTTGAGCCCAGGTATATATTCTAGGGAACAAAGAACTTTTTGCAGTCATGCAATTCTCTATTCATTACCATGCTTCTCCTAACCTCTGCAAGTCATCTTCAATTAATATAGGTATGTAGGAGTAGATGGAAATATTCATATACATATGCTTCTTGTTAATAGAAGTACAATCATATACCTCAAATCTAACTTTCCTGATCACATATTCTAATAATATTAATAACATGTAATAAGTAGTGCGAAGTTTTACTGCTTCACAGAAATTCTCTTTCATTCACAGGACATCATTCTATTTTAGTGCTCAAAAATTTTATTCTAAATATGACACAGATAAAGTGGCTAAGAATTGGCAACTTTAAATTTGAGTATAATTGACACACAATGTTAATTTCAGGTGTCCAACTTAGTGATTTGACATTTTTATACATTATGCTGTGTTCACCAAAAGTATAGCTACTATCTGTCCCATTATATTGTTAACAAGTGATATTTTTTAATTGACAGTGAAAAATATAAACTCAGAAGGTCTGTGGATTACAAATTTATGTTTTTAATTAAAATAATAGTGAAATATAAAATATATTCATTCATCAAGTAGAATTATTAGATCTGTTCATAAGTATTCTAGTCTCTTCTTTTTTGGAACATAATTCATTGCATTTCCTGGGCCCCTTGTGGAAATTTTTATATTATCTTGTAAAGCTGAATATTGCCATATCCTGCTACCCACCAATTACATTTGTAGGAGACATGCTTATAAATGTTAATTGTTATTGTTCATACTAGACAAGCATTTATTGGCAGGATAATGGGTAAACACATTTTAGAATAATCATACACTAGAATATGTTATGACAGTAAAAATGAATCTAAAACTATATTTAAAAACTGATGTAAAATTTGGTAACATATATAATGTTGAATGAAAAAATTAAATCCATTCCTAGGAATTCACATAAAGTTGGCTACATTCTTTAAAATTCAAAGCTAGGAAAAATCAACCATATCTATCTATCTATCTATATACGATAAAGATATTCTATTTTTAGGAAGCAGGGTAGTTATGCATTCAAAAATCAGGTTATTGGTCACTTTTAGATTTAAGCAGTGGACAAGATAGGGAAGAGCTAAAATAGATTTAATTATTGGTAATATTTTAGTTCTTGGGATAGAGTTAAATTTACAAGTATTGATTATGTTATTTAAATGAATGCAAAAATAGTAATATAAAATGAATAAAATACAAATGGTAAAATAGTTGGAAATGTGTGGATTCTGCAGTTAAAGTTTTATGATAAGAATGAGTTTCTTCTACTTTGCTTGCTCTGCTTCCTTTTGTGTTGGCTCCCTTTTAGATAAGGTTCTCTCTACTTATGCCAAGATCATGGGCAAGAGTTCTGGGTCTTTACTCCAGAAACTCTATTAGAAAAAAAATAATAAACTGAGGGTTGCTGGGGGGAGGGGGGTTGGGAGAGGGGGGTGGGGTTATTATGGACATTGGGGAGGGTATGTGCTATGGTGAGTGTGGTGAAGTGTGTAAACCTGGTGATTCACAGACCTGTACCCCTGGGGAAAAAAATATATGTTTATAAAAAATAAAATAAAATAAAATAAAAAGAAAAAAAATAATAATTTTTTTTCAAGAGTCTAAACAAACATTTTGAGTTTGCATCTCATTTTCTAATAGATCTCTGACCTGATCATTACAATGGGGAGGGGAATGCTCTCTGATTGGCCACACAGGAGTCATAGTCCCACCCTTAGGGCATAACACTACTCATAACTCATACTGAAAATGGAGAATTTGTGTTTCCTCAAAGGAAAATCAAGGTTAATTTGAAGAAGGAAGACAAACTCATCTCAGGGAAAATCAGTCAAGGCTCACCAAGACAGTTTTTATAGCTCATCTTTAGCATCTTCATGAGGTAGGCACGGTGTATCTGCTGAAGTGTTAGAGATGTTTCTTCAAAACAACAAATGTCCACAAAAGGTTATTGATGATACATCCTATAGCCCCTCATGAAAAATATCACACTGTATTATGAGGACAACCTGATATCTTCAAGGTCTTATTTGATGTTTAGTGGGATTCAGTGTTTCAGTGCTATTGACCCTAGATGCAATTGAGGCCCATCACTGAAGGGACTCCTAGAGGCTATTAGTTGTCTCTCCAGACCAGACCTCACTTCAATCTGCTTTTTCTAAATTAGTAGTTTTAGATTCGTTCATAAATAATCTCTTCAACTTACTACATCTACCATCATGTGGGTAATTATTCAGAAGTAATTATAGGGGTGTCTGGGTGGCTCAGTGGGATAAAGCCTCTGCCTTTGGCTCAGGTCATGATCCCGGGGTCCTGGGATCCAGCCCTGCATCGTGCTCTCTGCTCAGTGAGGAGCCCACTTCCCCCTTTCTCTCTTTGCCTGCCTCTCTGCCTACTTGTGTTCTCTGTCTGTCAAATAAAATCTTAAAAAAAAAAAAGAAAATATATAAGATATAAAGTGATAAAATAGTATATAAAAGGCATTTAATAAATATTTGGTGAGGTAAAATTATTTCAGTAAGATGAATTCCTTAACAAGTATATTTTTACTAATATTAGCTAATGAAACAAATGGAAATGAGTTTGAAATAATACGAGATATTTTTCAGTATATGTACTAATCCTCAGATCAATTGCTACAAATCTGTGGTTCTTTGGTGGGGCTTGGCTATAGCTCACAGAACAGAACCTCTGGTTTTAGGACACTCTACTGTTTTCCTTGGACTGTACTTGTGAATAAATTACAAAAGCTAGAGAAGCTTGTCTCCTAAAGCACAGAAAATGAACTTAGGGCACTGGGTGGGATCAGAGTAGTTTTTTTGGAGTAGTTTTTGGGATCAGAGACAGTTTTTCTTGCCAACACACTGTTTTTTCTTGTTCTTGTTCTCTTGTTCTCTAGCACCATGCATTTGTATTTTCCTTTTCCCCCCTGTATCTTTGGTTAGTCTGAGGCACCTAAGACCACCAAACCCTTGTTTGTATTTGGTCTTGAGTTTGAGGGGGGGTTAACTTATTCTACTGTAGGCTGAATGGATGAACCAAAAGTTAAATGTATTACAACATCTAGGATGTTTTTGAGTAACAAAGAAGGGACAACTTTAGGGAATAGTATTCTCTAGGGTGCTAATATTTTACATCATTATATTTAAAATATTCCCTCAGGGATACAGAGAGGACTTTTTTTTTTGTAGTGTTCTATGGGAAGGCTGCTTTCAAAAAGGGATGGAAATATGTATCATTAATTTACAGTGTTTTAACAGGTAAGTGACAGATTGCTTACACCTTTGCACTCAGAGAGGCAACATTATAGAATAATTCAACTTATTTAAACAATACATTTTCATAGGTCTCGTGACTATTGCTTCTCCTTCCTCTGAGAAGGGAACAGGAAAAAAAAATTTGCCGAAGTTTACTGTTAATATAGTAAAAAGATAAAATGAAATGTAAGTTTCAGAACAAAATGATTTTTGAACTCAGTAAATATTTTATGAGTACCAAGTATGTGAAAATCTTCGTGTGGCTTTCCATTATTGTGTGGGGATGGAAGGATAGATTTCATACTGCAAGTGTTCTTTTTTCACTTGTTTTTTTTTAAGATTTTATTTATTTATTTGACAGACAGAGATCACAAATTGGCAGAAAGGCAGGCAGAGAGAGAGAGAGGAGGAAGCAGGCTCCCTGCGGAGCAGAGAGCCTGATGTGGGGCTCGATCCCAGGACCCTGGGATCATGACCTGAACTGAAGGCAGAGGCTTTAACCCCCTGAGCCACCCAGGTGCCCCTTTTGTTTTTCTTAATAGTTTCTTGAGGTAGCAGAATGCAGAAAGGTTCACAAATACTTCTCATGTAAGGTAGCTGAGGAGAATACATCCTCAATATGGATATTAAAGGTTAGAAGAGCTTATGCCTGGTGAGAAATTAGAGAAAAGGTCAACTGAGGCAGTGACCTTGACAGCGTTAGGAGAATGCCAGCTTTCCCACCTCCAAGTGACATTCGTAAATAGAAAGTTGTGGTGTGCTTAGGTGGCTCAGCCATTTGAGCAGCTGACTCTTGATTTCAGCTCTGGTCATAATCTCAGGGTCCTGGACTGAGCACCACATCCAGCTCTATGCTCAGTGGGGAGTCTGCTTGAGTTTCTCTCTTTCTTTCACTCTGCCCCTCCTCCTCCTGCTTTCTCTTTCTTTCTCACTCTAAAATTAAAACAAACAAAAAGGCTCTAAAAACATAGAAAGTTGTACATCACAGTATGGAATTATTACTCTTTATATGTTTCAAAATAATATTGTAAGAACTTAATTTGTAGTTGATACACACATTTGAGATTTAATCTCAGAGCTGAATAACAACTTCTCATGGGAAGTTTGGAGGAATCATGATGATGTGGAAGCAACAGGATATCATGAAAACGAAAGGTAATGTGCCAGATAGGTGGGAGAGTTTCATTTTTTTTATTATATTCAATCAGCCAACATATAGTCATTAGCTTTTGATGTAGTGTTCAGTGATTCATTAGTTGGGTATAACACCCAGTGCTCATAACTACCTACGCCTTCCTTAATACCCATCCTGCGGTTACCCCATCCTCCCACACCTCTCCTTTCTGTAACCCTCAGTTTGTTCCCTGAGGGATAAAGAATCTGGGGACAGCCTGTTAACCTTCCACAGAGAATGTGGATTTTGCATAGAAATGAGTATAGTGGTTCTCCCAGAGGTGGAAGTCTAGTGTAACCAAATTAGGGAGGGTTAAGTAGGTGAAGAAAGCCGTTAAGGAAACCAGTAGTACTCACCGTGGCTGCTGCAGAAAAACAGATTTATGGGATAGAATGATCCACCTGACAGTCTATATTCCACCCTCATCTATTCTCCAATTTTTTTCCTGTGTGCTTTTCTTTCAGCTCTTCTCTGTTACTTCTAAGCCCAACACATAGTTTGCTACCGTGCTGACAGATTTAGCCATTCCAAAGTTGGCTACACTTGTTTGAAAAGTTGAGGTAAGTGCAATACTTATTAAAAGATGTGTTATTATACTAGGGTTATTTGACCCTAGGTCATTGCAACTCATTTGTATGTCATATTTCTTGGAGAACCAGATGAAAGTGTTAACATGTCTTTGGAAAAAATGGACATGTGGTCATCCACAGAGACATGTACAAAAACATGCCTTGGTTGCAAGAAGATGTGAAAAATGTCAAGGCACTCCTTGAATTCTTTATGGGTTAAAGATTCATGTAGAAAATGCTAATATGTAAGAAGATCATTTTTTGGATATCAGTGTCCCAGAATCTTAAATGGTTATGTGATGCTCTTCAGAATACAACATGTTCTACTCCATGTTTATTACATTGTTTAAAATTGATCTCAGCCTACTTCCTGGATTTATAAGTTAGGAGAATGTTTGTCTGTCTGCCACACATAATAGATAGAGAGCCACAAGGCATTAATGATGTGAATGTGTTTTGTAATCAGAATACTACTAAAACCACCAGATAAATATATTTTAAGAGATAATTGAGAAAACTAATTAAAAAAACATTTAGTACTTACATGGTACAAGGCATGGGTGCTTGAACTATGGAAAATAAAATCCCGAGAATAAATACTTTTCAAAGATTCTTATTCCAAGAAGGAAGCTAAAGAAAGCACTCACATGAGTGAATTTAAGCATGATATGTAATGTTATAAGAAGAACTATAAAGGATGCCATTGGAGAACAGGAGTGAGAATTATTTTTTTTTAATTGTGTTATGTTAGTCAGCATAAAATACACCATTAGTTTTTGGTGCAGTGTTCCAAGATTCATTGATTATGCTCCACAGCCAGTGCTCCATGCAATATGTGCCCTTCTTAATACCCACTACCAGTCTCACCCCCCCATCCCTTTCCCCTCTAAAACCCTCAGTTTGTTTCTCAGAGTCCACAGTCTCTCATGGTTTGTCTTCACCTCTAATTTCCCCCTATTCACTTCTCCTCTTCATCTCCCAATGTACTCTGTGTTATTCCTTATGCTCCACAAGTGAAACCATATGATAATTGACTTTCTCTGCCTGACTTATTTGACTAGGCACAATCTCCTCCAGTTCCATCGATGTTCATGCAAAAGTTGGGTATTCATCCTTTCTGATGGCTGATCAAAGTATAATTACTGAAGACCTCCAGAAAAGAGTTCTTGGAATTTGGGTCCTGAAGTTTTGAGATAACTGAAGTAGGTAGAAATGAAATTCCAGGATGGAAAGATACTATTGATAAAATGTTGATTAAATATCTGGTAAGTCTTCTAAATTATACTTCAGTTTGTATTTTTACTTGCATGTAGTATCTCTTTCAACACCATTTTGACAAAAAAGATTTAGAGAAAAGATTTTATTCCTGGAAGTGAAGTCTGCAGTAATCTTTTTTTCCAAATTTGAATTTGAAAGGAGTGAAATTTCAAAGATGAATGATCACTGACTTTACCAGAATAGATAACAAATTGAATGAAGCCAGTTCTGATTATTTACTATTCTTGTCTAAAACAATATCTACCTCACTCTTCTGAATCTTTGTTCTGTTATAAGGAAGTGGAATTTTCACTACGTGACTAATAGAACTCTGGTGGAGATTACAGTATTGATTTGGTCCTACGTGAACTATCTGGTGACATCTCCCTAAATAACCTCAGATCCAAAGTGCTTAAGCTAAAATTTGGATTACTAAAAACATGAACTATTGCATAATAATACCCCCTTTCATTTAAATGTAACCTCAGGGATTTTGTGTCCATTAAGGAGTGTTTTCTAGAGATGGGAAGGAGAAAAAAATGCAGATATTTGAGATATTATCAACTATCAAAGAACATTCATGCTCTTATCTGCATTAGTGTATGTCAAATACTAAATATCATAAGGGTGTTTCAAGGTAAAAGTATATTATTTAGAAGTTAGAAGTACTTCTTGTTCCTCTTTTCAAGCTCTAATAGCTGGGAGCAAATATTCAGTGACAGAGGGCATACTACATATTTATAAAAATATACATTTTCTATAAGTATATATAAAAATATATGATGATAAATATATGCAAAAATAAGACATTCTTCTTTTTGGGGGTGTGATTTTGTACATAAAATGGAGTGTGATTTTATACTTGTATCATGAGCCTGCAAAGGCAGTCAAAATATCTAAAATGCCAAGTGACACACCATCAAAACATGGGTCCAAAGATATATTACATATGCAAAAATAATGACATTAATAATAAAATGGAGCCAAATCTTTTACTTTATATTCATTGAATTGGTAAAATTAATCAGAATCATTTAAATGCTACAAGATTGTATCTGAAGTATATTCTAGGAAGATACAACTTTCACAAGTTTGTTGAGACTCATAATGGCATTACGAAGTGGCCATTATAAATGAAGGAATAAACTATTGAAGTGACATGTAGGAACTCACCCCTAAAATATTAATGATGAAGAATATTTATTTTGCTCAAATTATTCCATAAAATCACACATCCCACCATGAATTAATTCCTTTATTTCTTGCAGATCAACAAATTCATACTCAAGCATCTCCTAATTGAAGAAATCATGCAACTGAATAATAATGTTACTGAGTTCATTCTGCTTGGGTTGACCCAGGATCCTGTTAGGAAGAAAATTGTGTTTGTCACTTTTTTGCTTTTCTATTTGGGGACGTTGCTGGGTAACTTTCTGATTATTACTACTATCAAGACCAGCCAGACACTTGGGAGTCCAATGTACTTCTTCCTTTTCCATCTATCTTTATCTGACACCTGCTTCTGTACTACCATAGCTCCTAGAATGATTGTGGATGCCCTTTTGAGGAAGACCACTATCTCTTTCAATGAATGCATAATACAAGTCTTTTTATTCCATTTCTTTGGCTGCCTAGAGATTTTCATCCTTATCCTCATGGCTGCTGACCGCTATGTGGCCATCTGTAAGCCCCTACATTACACAACCATCATGAGTCAAAGGGTCTGTGCTGTGCTGATGGCTACAGCCTGGGTGGGGTCCTGTGTGCATTCTTTAGCTCAGATTGGTCTTGCCTTGAGTTTACCATTCTGTGGTCCCAATGTGATTGATCACTATTTTTGTGACTTGCAGCCCTTGTTGAAACTTGCCTGTGCAGACACCTATGTAGTCAACTTACTCTTGGTGTCCAACAGTGGGGCCATTTGTACAGTGAGTTTTGTCATGTTGATGTGCTCCTATGTTATCATCTTGTATTCTCTGAGAAACCACAGTGCTGAAGGGAGGAGAAAAGCCTTCTCCACTTGCATTTCCCACATCATTGTGGTCATCTTTTTCTTTGGTCCTTGCATATTCATATACACACGCCCTGCAACCACCTTCCCCATGGATAAGATGATAGCTGTGTTTTATACACTTGGAACACCTTTGATCAATCCTCTGATTTACACATTGAGGAATGCAGAGGTGAAAGATGCCATGAGGAAGTTATGGAGGAAAAAGTTGATTTCAGATGACAAAAGATGAATTGGTGCTTCAATTTTTTTCTTCATAGTTCAGATTTGCCTAGAAGCCCATTGAGAATCTTATCTTTTTATTGTGGTTTAACATCATTAGAGGACAAGAGAATTCATTCCTTCAAGAATGAACATGTACACTGATTAGTGTTGAGTCATTTTCATGTACAGAAGGGACAGCACCAGGTACAAACAGCCATGTCAAGACACATGCCTTAGATGTTCACTGTTGTGTCTCTGCCTCTCTTGGCTGTGTGGCATCACTGTGGTTTTGATCTAGTGTTTTCCTTGCCCTTTTTGATATTGACTTTTCATGTTCTCTGTTTACAAGTTATGTTTTATATGTTTATATCCACAGCCTGACAGGCTTTTCCTCCTTCAAATGACTTCCTTTTTATTCTATGCGACACTTCAGTCACATCATGTCTGATTATGGATCTTCAACTTCGTTGTTCTTGGTTGACTGAGCAGAAAGCACCAATTTCAAATGATTGTAAAATCCTCATGTTTTAAGTGGCAGTCTATTAGCTAGGTAATTCCCTTTTATTTCTTGGGTTCATACTTCAAATTCTTCTCATATTTATTTAGATTCTTCTAGAACAGTGGCAGAAAATAGTGTAAGTATTTACCTTTCTGAAGGAATATTTTTACCTTGGATAGGTGGATAGTTGGAGTGGTACTCTTTGCATTCTTTTTGTAAAAACTTTTCGCTCTACAATGAGCACTTCTAATTTGGGGGAAACATTATTTTTTTTCTTGGGTCATACAAATTATAATAATTTATTTGCACTTTTGGGTTATTATGACTGTAGCATACATGTCCCAAATTAAGTAGATATATTCATATGGGCTATAAGTAAGGCACAGAAGCAACCAATGGTTGAGAAAGGGAATTTGAATTTAATAACTGATAAAGAATGTTAAAACTCAAAAAAGTCTTTTTTTTTTGGCCTTGAAACAGAAATAGTTACATCACATGTATGAATTATCTTAGTGAGTTTTAATAGAATCTAGAAAAGAGGGTAACTTGAGAGAGACAAGATATTTGTATAAAGTCTGCATTTTGGCAATGGAT